ACAACTATCAAGCATGGGGCAAATTGGTTAGATGAACTGAAGTTAAAATATCAGCAATGTAATAGTAAAAAATGCAAGTCTACCTTTGGTTCACAGCAAAGAAATGAAATTGGTCAGAGTTTGCGTGAGATCAATATCTAGTGAAGAAAAACTGGCAGATACTGCCTAAGGTAAGGGAGAGAAAAGAAAAGTATTTTGAAGAACTTGCAGTCATGGGGCAATGTCTTTTTGCCACATGTGCAGTCATAAAGACCAGTTCATTCTGTGTAGTTCTAGGAGAGTGCCTGAATTTCTCTTGTGTCTATGCTCTCATATAGTAGCATCTGTATCTTCATTTAGCAATGTTTTCCATTATTATAATGTATCTACATTTATTTATACTTTCTGTCACCTCCTGGCTGTGCTACAATTCCTGGGCCGAAAACCCGCAGAGCCCAGGAAACTCCAGCTTGTACAGAGACCTCCAGCACGTCTCTTCAGCAGCATACGCTGCTATGAATGAGTGCGGTTCATGAAGCCTGTTTTCTGCTTTCCACACTGGGTTCCTATAGCCTTTGTAATTATACTGGTCTTTGTTTTGAAAATATTTTGCTTGTCTGGCACAACAAAGTCCCACCAGCTGAAGTGAGAGGGAGATGGAACTTGCTGGGTCAGTGGCTGTGGACTCCTCCAGGTTCAAAGGAGTGCTGCAAATGTTACCATGTTCCATTGCAAACACAAGAGACCTTTTTTTGACTCTACCTTTTGTGAAATAAATACACAAGTTATATTTTTGGACAAGCTAAGAAAATTTTCCCAAGCTAAACCACTCCATACTTATTCCCCTAGAATGAAACTCTTCTCTGAATGCCCTTTCACCTCTAGGAAGGAGGCCAAGAAGGTAGTTATGGCAGGTGTAAGTTACGTTGCTTAATGGAGTACAAGAAGTCAGTGGCTTGACAATGTAGTGATGAGCAGGGCGTAACAGTGTGTATAAACAGTGTGGTACAACAGGCTTAAACCCTGCGAAGTCATAGTTTGGGTCCACACAGAGGAATGCAATACCAAGGAAGAATGAGTAGCTCTCCATCCTTCGACTGTGAATGCTTTTGTCTGGGGTAAACTAACTGTGATGCCATTCAATTGGAGTAACTCTGCAATGAAAGTATTCTCCAGGCAGAAGACGCTGCTCCACTTAGCAGTGTGCTCCTCAAGAACAATACCCTGGCTATTTCATACCTTTGTAGATAAGAAACACAGACAACCTATTTAATATATCTAAATTACAATTAAAAAATACGTGCTAGTGTTAGAGCAATCTATGCAGTCATTTCAGGTGTGAAAAGAGTTTAATCTTTAGGTCTATTTCCCTGAGGATTGACCTCATATGTTAAAAAAGCACTGTTTGTAATTATAAAGTAAGTGATAAGCATCAAATGAATTGTTACAGAACCCTTTTGTTGACTTTATTCCACAATAAGGAGCAGTTGCTGTGTAACCTTGAATATGGCCAAATAACTCATGCTAAACGCATCGCTACAAAGATGGCATTTTGGCAGGGCTTTGATGTAGGTCATTTTATTACCAGGCTGAATCAAACTACAAACTGATCTTAAACTCATGCCAAGAATGCTAATAATAAACTGATCAATGAGGTGCTGGATTGTTCAAGAGAATTGGTCAAGGAAAAATGCAGACATAAAAAGTCTGGAATTCCAAAGGTTGAACCGCTTGGGCTATTATACTGGGCGGAATTATATTCCTTGCATTAGTACAAGTTTTCTTTACTCCAGGGACCTTTAGCTGAGTGTTGAACAGGTCAGTGTCAGAAAGTATATACTTAGCTTTATTTTTCTTGACCTTTATGTGCAAGTAATTTTTATAGTTCCATTAACTAGTAAGATCATTTGCAAAGCACTGTACAAAGTATATTACGAAGAATGCCTTGGGGACCATTGTATCCTATTATGTTGAATGTTAATAGAATGAAAAATTAATTTAAAGTCTGAAGATTAGACCAAGGCAAGACTTCCCTTTTATAGAGGAAATTCAAAATTTTATTTGCTATGGTAAAACTTTAGAGTTGTACCCCAATATGACCTTTATATGAACCTTTATAGGCCTGATTCAAATCAGACAGTGCAGGAGTCTGATTATTTGCCTCTTTGAATAAAATGGCTTATATCAAAGCTTCCCCTTTCAAAAACGGGGGATTTCTGTGACCCCCACATATGGGATTGCTCCTGTGTAGTTTCACAGCTTTAAATAACTGTATATTAGTGAGCTTATAGCTGCTTGTTTAGCAAGTTAATAAACCAGAGATGAGAGAACCCACAGTTCCAAGGAGTGTCTTTACCTTACTTGACTCTTCAATTGCTCATTAAACGTTGTCATCTTCAGCTATGCGGGACTTCAAAACACCTAAAAACAAAGGTGCAGTTCTCTATAGTACTTTTTTGTATTTTGCATGGCATTCATTACTTTAGAATGAGGAATACTATCTTGAGTCATGCTTGTAAGTCTCACATAGCACTTTTCCCCAGGGACTGGAGGACTGCTACAGAAGTCAATACTTCTGTCCATAGGCAAGTGATTAAGTAATCTTTATTAGCTTAATTAGTCATTATTATTTCATATTTATGTTAACATAGTTAAGATGAGATATGTTTGTCTGGCTAAATCAACTAAATTTGGACCAGTAATGAGCAGGAGTTTTGTTGTTTGGAACAGCAAAGAAATAGTCCAGCGTCAATATTCTTGCTCACAAATTATGCCTTGACCTGAGAACCTAACCTAGTTAAAAGGATAAAAAAGTTGCATGTTTTACATGTAAGAATGTTTTATTATTGTAAATGCCCATACAGGAAACAGAAAAATCTCACTTTTGATTTCCATACCTTTTATAAAACTGATGTGTAAGAGTTGCATCAATGAGAATCGTATTCTTAGGTAAAGCTATATGGGGCAGAATTTTCAAAGTATCCCTATCCCGCCATATTGTATATCTTTTAGTACCTCATACTTTTAATAACAAATTATAAGTTTGTGGCTGTTGTGTATGTGAACTTCTTCTCATAGATAACCAGCCATTTTTAAATGACTGCATGAAGGTGTGTATTTCTTTATTGGAAAATCCTGTTTTTCTAATACCCTGTCTTGAGTTTCATCTTGCAGCTGTAGACTAGGACACCTCACTGTCTTCAGAAAACCTAGCTCAAGTAAAATAGATGCACAAAAGGTTAGGACAATTAGTGACTAGAGAATTAGCTATCAATATTTCTTGCCCCCTGCAATACTGCCAAAACACAAGATATGAAATAAGAATAAATTGCACCTTTGACATGCAGCAAACTTAGAAGGGAAATGACTAATCTAGAAAGATCTTGCAGTTGTTATGATGAGGCAGCATTCTACTCAGTCGTCACGTACGATTTGATGGATAAAGAGCAGGAAGTTTTGTCCCATAGGATTATTCAAAGTTCACTTGTGATTTCAAGTTGGATTTAAATACATTGTGAATAGCTTAGTGGGTTTGGTCTGCAATGACCCAAACACAGAATAGACAGCAAAATGTTTCCATCGGCTTTGATGCCAGCCTGAGTGTAGATTCAAGATGTGAGCCAGTCTGGTAGTCCAAACGGAATGTCAAATATAGCAGGAACCGTTCAAATGTACAAGACATTGGTGGAAAACGTTTGGCCCATGAGGTACCTGGGAGCAAAACGGGTTTTTCATATACAGGCCCAGTGCAGCTTTAAGAAGGTTTGCTGGCTGACTTAAAATGAATTGGGTAGTTCAGCCTGGTTTTCAGTATGGCAACACAAAGCTACTTCCCAAGTCAGTTTTGCTGGTCTTGTTTTAGACAGGAATGAATTAATCTTCGTATAAGTCTTTTGTAGTCCAGCTTCAGCCAGTTGTTGGTTAAGTAAGCACAATACCCACATTTCCCATCTGATATGAAAACACAGGTTATAGAAGCACAGGTTATATATGATATAAATAATGTATACAATATCTATATTATATATGTGTATATATATTTTAATATAGTGATCTCATTGCCACTACATCGTATTCGTTAATAACTCATACGTGTTAGTCTAGATGGAAATCATGCATTCCAACTTAACCATCCAATTTGAATCACTGACACACTGAGGTTTTGGCAATGCCCTAAGTGGTAAAATGGAAATAAGGTAGTAAGCAGTAAAGTTCAACCTTTAAAGTAGTTATTCAGTACTGGCCAAGTTTTTTTTGTTTGATGGGCATACCGGCATACACTGGAAAGTAAGTCAGAGTTACAGAAACAGCACAGGAGAAGAAACACCTTGAAACTATGAGCTCTTCCTACTTGGGGAGAAGAAAAGGAGATTCTCTCGTGTATATCTCTAGTCAACTGGCAAGTGAGGCAGTAAAACCAACCAGTTTTTCATAGGTTGAACCTTGAGGATACTGAACTTTCAATAATCCAACAATGGACAAATAAGATATAGAACACTGTAGTTACAGAAAACTTGATGACCTTGAAAAGACAAAGCTGCACTTACAGCTACTGCATCATGTAGTAAAATGATTTCTTTTCCTTGAGCTATTTTTCACAAATCTATTTTGGATCTCAATATACTTTCAAAACTGAGCTCCATTTTATCTTATGAACAGTAGCAACTTGAGTGCAATATAAGAAGCTGATATTCTGTAATATAATAATAATAAATGTCAGTTTGGTTAAAATTTTATTATGAGGCAAAACTGCTAACCAAAGTAATTTCTGGTGTTAGAGTTTTTCATTACAAAGAGCTCAAGTGACAAATGAGTTTATTGCTGTTAAGAGACCTATATTTTGGTTTGGTCACTTAGTATTAATTAAATCTTGCAAGTAATTCTTTTTTGTGTGTTTGCTTTGTTTAGTATCTCTAAACAAAATATTGGTCTCTAAGGCATAGTTTAGTGTATGTTTACCAACCACTTACTATGTTTACAATGCTATGTTTACAATGCTGTGTATTGTTTCTTCTTAACAGCACTCTGCACAGAGGAGTGTGTGCATGGAAGATGTGTCTCTCCTGACACTTGTCATTGTGAACCAGGATGGGGAGGTACTGATTGCTCTAGTGGTGAGTAAAGATTACAAAAATGTGATACAGATATATGCTGCTATTAAAAAAAAAGGCCTTAAATAAAGCAATGGCCTTAAAACATGGATGCTTTAAGTGGAAAAAAGAAGGTTGTCCGTTGGTTGCTTTGCAACAGTTAATACGCTTTCCTACGATAATGACTTTCACCTTTTTTGCTTGTTTTTACAAAGAAATGTTAAATGCAGTGGAGGACACTTTTAATGCTTGCGATCCTGTTATTAGGATACCAATACAGATATTATGAAATTTTTCTCTCTCAAATATTTAATATAACACGTTGTTCATTAATACTTTGTCAAGTACTTGGAGTCGTTTGGAAAGCACTCTCTAGACTGCTAAAGCCAGTGGGAGTTTTGCCATTGACTTTTCATGCAGCCCAGTTTCTACCTTCTGACTTGAAACCCACACCTTAAATTATCCATACTGCAGAAGGTAGGGAAATGGTAGACGTGGGAGTTCTGCACCTTTTGCTAGGAAATCAATTCACACTTGAGGCTTTCAATTTTTTCAGCTGGCGAAGCTGTGTATGCCAAACTCTCTTAATTGGTAATGATAAGTTTAAGTCTATGTGATTAGTTCATGCTGGAATGAAGCAGCTACCATTCTTTCCAGTACAAACATCAGAGATGTTGTGTAACAGAGGCCCAATACGTTATTGACATAACGGAAATAAGCTTGTTAAATGAAGTCTATTTGTGCATCAGGCAAGTAAATAAAGCTGCATCGAGAAAGATGCTGCGAGTCATTTACTGAATGAACATTTCATTTTGCTTTTATTTTCTCTCTTTCTCCCAAATTGATTGGGCTCTTAAAAAAGAGGCATCATTAGCAGCAAAAAGATAACAGAAAATGCATCTATAAAGGGAGGTACTAGAAGAGAATAGGAGTTAAATTTGACTGGGGCTGAACACCTCTGGAGGCTGATGTCAGTGGGGCAGCCTGTTCTCTGGTCAAGTTACTGGTGTTTTGTCTGCAGCTTTGCGGATGTCTCCTCAGTTACAGCAGAAAAGACGATAGGCAGAGAGCAGGCAGGAAGGACAGAAAGGAAGGCCATGCTTTGGGGTTTGAAGCAACCTCTTGGGATTACCTGACATGTAGACAAGGGAAAAATTAGGTAGCATAACGTAATGAATATCTATCTATAACAACATTTTAAAAAAGAAAAATAGTACCTGAGTTGTAAAATATTGTATAGAATCTCAGGAAATCCTTTTATCCTTTGTCTATTTCTAGTAACAGATGTGGTTAACCTGACAACCATTGAGTATTTACACAGCGCATGTGCACTTAGAGAAGTTAAAAATAATAATTAAAAAAACATACTGTGACAACATAGACATACACGTATAGATGTATACATTTATACACACCATGCATATGCAGAGTAATAAGCACTTCATTCTTTGTAAAAATGAAGAGGAAAGGATAAGATGTCAAAGTACAGATGGGTCTCGTGGACTAAAACTACCCAGTGACTCTTATTAAATTGCACTAATCTTGCAAGTGAAGATAAAAAGAAAAAGAAGGTTTTTCCTATATTGAATATTTAGCTTTTTAAAGTAATTAGGAATATTAAAGCACTGACAATGATTGAGATAGAAACATTATTCATAACTTTTATTTCCGCACTGGGCAGCAATCCAGTATATTTCATTTATGAGGTTTCAGTGGTGGAAAGAGAAGCGTTAGCCAATTCCTAAATTAAATATGCCCTGTTAACTTTTATAAATGATAGCCCAGGATTAGCTTCAAAATTTAAGCTTTCATTTTATTAATATAATTAGTGTGTTCGCTGGACTATAGTGCCCATTGTCTTTCATTCCATTTGTTATATGCTGAGTGACGTGCATTCTTGTCCTAAGGTCTGATCTGACAAGCACTGTCCAATGTAATGCTTGTAAGTGTGAATGGCCTCATAGAAGTTAGCTTTTACTGCAGCTGAGAGAGCCGCTCACCTTTCTGCTTGACACTAGAAATTTGGATGACTGGCCTCTTTATTGTTCGGAGGCTTTGTTTAAATTAAAAGGTATAGAACAGATATCAGCTGAGTACAGTACATTGTTACTCTAAGTATTTCCAAGAGCGAAGTGAGAAGCTGGGAGCCTTTGCCTAACTGAGGTTAACCGGGTTTTTCAGATACATTGATGATCCATGTATTGAGTCATATCTTACTGTTATCCAGTAATAACGTGGAAAGCATTTTTCACTTCTACTGGAATAATGTATTACCTGTGCCTACTTTCTTCCTGTCACTTCATTAATACTGGGTAGCCGCTATGAAGGTTACATGTTTGCAATGACAAATATCGTTTGTTGGATGCTTCTGAATGACTGACCCTGCAGGGCTGTACTCTGGCTAAACGGAAGCTGTTGGCTGTATGCGTGCCACCCCACTCCCGGTGGGCCGTAGAACTGTCCTATAAGGTCCTCAGTATCAGTGATTTTATTAAGTCACAGGCATAATTGCTTTTAATGTTGCCTGTTTGAAACTATTTTACTGGAAAAGGGATTGCTAGCCAAAACACTCCCTTTAAATTTAGAAAGTCTCCCAGGGACTATAACTGTTTCCTGAATGATGTCTCCTGAAAACGCGTGGAGCCTACCTGACACTGGGGATCATCTTTTGTCGTTTACTTGGAAAAGATCTAGGGACGCTCACTCTTTTGGAGATAGCACTTCAACACCCTGCAGATGAGGCCGTTATAACTTTCTAAAAGTTATACATAACTTTCATTTGTTTTAATGGGTGAAATTCAACCATAAGCAGAGCTCCAGCACAAGGTCCAAGTGCCACTTCAAAACCAGAAGTCTGATCCAAATGTTTTTCTTTTTTGGTGCGCCGCAAAGACTCCCTATGTCAGGAGAGCATAGAGAGGCATGAATTCTGACACTGAGCACAGATTTTCTATGGGGTGACAAGGTTTTGGTGTTTAATGCAGTTTTCCAGTGTTACCATTCTCCCTTGGCTAGAATATACTCAGTTGAATGTTTTGAGTAGTTACAGCTACAGCCTGTAGTCATCCAAACAATTTAATCAACTTTCTCAGACTTTGTTTCATGCTTTCTGAAAACTCCACCTGTAAGACAACAATCACAAAAATTGCTATTCAGTGCAGCTTTCCAGTGACTGATCATGTACATGTTAGAGTTCATTCGTTGTCAAGGTTAAAATAACTTCAGATGAATTGCTAAATAATTATAAAAAAACCCTGTGCCATATTCAGCTCTGCATGCCTCTGTACCTGTGTTTTACTGCATGCTGTTGTACATCTGTCAATGCCCACAGGCCTAGCCTTGATTTCATGCTATAAAACTGCAATATATTAAGGCTTGATTACCATAACAATAAAAAGAGAAGTAATGAGGTATTAACTAAAGAAGCTCTTGACTAAAATGTTTTCAAGGTTTTAATGATGCTAAAAATTAAAAGGAAAAGTCTTTAAAGCAACTCCATACCTTTTCCCTTCCCTTTTAACTTGTTTTATTAAAATCATGCCCATTTTGTCCATGCAATCTGCACTGTTGTTTTTTTAAATACCAAGGAAAATTGCAACTGCTCTGTGTGAACTTACCTGCTCACCTGTCCAATTATTTCAAAGCAATTAACTTCAAACAGTATGATGTACTGGCTTGAAGTTCTGGTAGGAATATAATTGACTGTTGGTGGTTACCTGGCCTCTTCTGGGTCTTGATAATAGCCATCTGTATTTGCAAGCCGTTAGGCCTCAATCCAGCAAAGCACTTAAGCGTATCCTTAACTTGACACGAGTAGGACTTTTCATCTCCTTTAAATTAAGCTGGTGTTTAAGGATGTTGCTGAGTCAGTTTTGAAGAAACAGTTAAAAAGACCTCAGTGAAATCTAAACAAGCCTCTCATTGAATTCTTGAAGCCTGTAAGGTATAAGGTTGTCTTTCTTTCAAAATACTAATACTCATCAGGCAATATTATTGAAGACCATTTTGACTCTCATAAGCATTTGTCATTGCGGGGAAGATCACGGAAATCTTTCTGGTTAATAGGGGATGCACAAACCAGTGGACAACAGGTAGGAAAAAGAAAGTTCAGAGCAAGAGCCCTGAATTAAAAGCAAGAACCTTCCAAAATTGTGTGTGCCAGTTTGAGAAATTTCAAAGTAAACAAACACAGAGGTTGTAATGAAAAAATAAAGTGGTTTTCAAAATGTTTACTTTGCTATTCATTTCGGGAGAAAATATAGTACTTACCCAAAGTGTAATTAAAGAGATGTTGGCATAATAATGCCAAACCATCTTTCTTCATGCTATGTCACCTGAGGGAGAGAGATTATAATATCGCTGTCTGGCATAGGCTGATTGGTAATGTACACATATGGATAGCATAGTTTTCTTTGGAAAGAATGTTTTGTACAAACTGTCGTTAAAAGCAAGAACCTATTTCATCTTTATCTCTTTTTGTCAAAAATAGCCAAGGTCACAACAACGGGCAAGTATAACTTCACAGCAAGATCACATTTAAGGGTATAGCCCTAGAGCAGCTGGAGTGCTTCAGTTCTGAGACTTGTGATGAATAAGAACTGCAGATACTTTGCTAAATCTGAAGAGGAGTTGCTTGATAACCTATGGAAAGCAACAGTAGAAATCTCAGGAGAAAAACAGAGAATTTTAAAGTGACTCTGTGGTGTTTTTCAGGCTTGATTTTGGCTTCCATGTTCTCAAAATGCTTTGAACTATTTCCAAAGAAGAGATAAAGTTCAAAGGAAAGATTCCTGGTTTGTGAATACAGGCTCAAACAAAATTCAGCCTAATGTCAGGGACTGATGTGCCAGAATCATTAGTTAATTTTTTGTCCTCAGGTTTTTAGGTGCAAGACCTCAGCTGTTCTCAAACTGTTAGTGGGCCACTACTTAGATTCAGGTCCTGTCCCTGTCCGGTCCTGAAGGACATCTGTCCATGTTTCTTCCATGGGAATTTGTCAATGCCGTGGGTTTGTATCACAGTGA